AGTGGTAGGGGTAGTGCTAGTGGTATGGGTAGTGGTAGAGGTAGGGGAAGTGGTAAGACAGAATAGTAACATTGACGCAACGCAAACCCGAAAGTTCACAAACACAGAACCCCCATTACTTCTCACTGATTGATCGGAAACAAAAAAATGAGAGAGAGGGGAGGGGAGAGGGGGGGGGAGAGGGGGAGAGGGGGGGGGGGAGAGGGGAGGAGAGGGGGGAGAGAGGGGAGAGGGGGGGGGGGGGCTGCGTGCAGAACGAGAGAGATAGTGAGGTGGGGGTTTTACATGAAGCAAAGTTTAAAAATGTAAAAAAAATGTTTTACGAAATGATGAACGAAGCAAAGTGCCGACTACACCGAGCATCTTCTTGTTTCCACTGATCGGAAAAAAAAGAGAGAGGGGAGAGAGGGGAGAGAGAGGGGAGAGAGGGGAGAGAGAGGGGAGAGAGGGGGGGGGGAGAGAGAGGGGGGGGGGGGAGAGTTTCAGGACTCTGAAACTCTGAATTTGTGTCTCTCATTGTTTGTTGAGCTCCCCCACTTCTCTCTCTCACGCTCCCTCCACCCCGACACCCGGGGTCACCCTCCCCCCCTATCCTCCTCCCTCTCCCTATTCACTCTGTCTATACAATCTAAATATAACCCTCTCACTCCTCCCCCTCTCTCTCTCTCTCTATGTGTCTCTGTCCTCTAAATATATTTCCGTGTAAGTGGTGGATCCCGCTGAAGTGGGTACATCCACCACACACTCCACTTTGGTGGAAGGAATTGGCAAACATCACGCCGAGAATGGCACCAGTGGAAGGGGCTCATCGGCTCGGGACATTGTTTTGAAGGCTGCAACATGACCCAGCCGAGTGGCCGCTCTTCGTGCGAAACAGACTGCCTCATACCGAGATTCCAAGAACACAGGATGAGATGTTACTATCGTTTGTGCAAGCACATCCAAGAGTTCATGAACAGTGAGCCTGGTGACATTTGGGGAGCGCATCGTCAGTAGTGACCCTTTGGTTCCTAGGGTGTTTCGGCCTTTCATACTATACACCCTCCCCAAAGGCGGCCAGCGACAGGGTGATCAATCCTACGCTTGCGTCCCATTCCCAATTAGTCGTAGGAGTTGCCTTGTTGTTGGTAGCCAACATCCCGTGGGACTATGCATGGCAGGGGCGTCCTCCTCCCTGAGTCAAGCATTGTTGACTGCATACCTCCTGGCCCTCTCACTTTGGGGCCCAGCTGGGGTCTTTCCTCTTCATCCAGAGCCACTGACTGCTGCCTTCTGCCGCCTCCGATACAGCTCTGATTGCCGAACGCTGGCTCTGGCCCTTAATTCCCAGGTCTCTAAGCAGTCTGGTTGTAGATGTTGCCACAAAAGCAATTAGTTCCTTTGACACGTAGCAGGCTTTCGTGACCAATATTATTAATAATCAACGTTGTTGGGGTGAGATCGCGTTATTTATAAATGTGTCGTAACCCTCCACCACCCGACACGGCCAATCAGTAAAAAAGTGTCACGTTGACAAAAGACAAATAGTTCACTGCTTTAGCCCACCGGTGTGTTGAAGCGTGAAACCACAACATTTACAGTTTCGATTTAAAGCTTTCGTGACTGCAGGGATTCATCTTTTTGGTTCTTTCGGTAAAGTCATCACGTAGAATGGAAGTAATAAAATAAAAAAAATTAAACATAATAAAATACAATTCTCACGACGTTTCGGCCACAACGCAAGCAGCAGTCATCTGAGGACGGCTGCTTGCGTTGTGGCCGAAACGTCGTGAGAATTGTATTTTATTATGTTTTATTTTATTTATTTTATTACTTCCCTTCTACGTGACTTTACCGAAAGAACCAAGAAGACATTTACAATGTTTGAGTCGTACTGTGACGTTTCGCTGGTAATTGCATCCAGCATCATCGATGGTGCAAAGATAAATATCCCCGGTGCAGCCTCTAACAGAATATTGGGGCAAGTGCTGTTAGCACATCTGAAGGCTACCGGCACTGTGGCACACGAGGGGGTGGGTGGCCAGCACCACGCCCGGCCGCCTTTGTCTCTCCCCCAGTGGGGATGTTTACTACACAGCGCTCCTAAATTGGTTGAGAACCACTCCACGAGACACTTCAGCTCTCAGGCATCTACTAACGATGTACTTCACTCGGATATTGACAAGGGCGGTGATGTCGTCTTGGGAGACTTTCAGGTTACATGTTTCTCCAAATTCTTAACAAACATGCTCCGTTGGTTAGATTTAAAACTGGTTTGATTACAAAGCTCGTGGAAACTAGGGACAAGGCTTGGGTATGTGCTCAGAAAAGTAATTTGGTCCATGACTGGCTAGAATACAGCATTTTAAGGAATAGATGCGTCAAAAAACTACGGCATGCAAAACATGCCGACTTTTCCTGCACTCTACTGGAATCACATGGAAATGCCAGGATCTCCTGGAAAACGATCAAATGTATCGAAAAGGCATCCAACACAGATCATCTGCCCGCTGAGCTTAACCGAAATTGGGAATATTTTTCAGAGCCCCAAAAAATAGTTGACAATTTTAACCTTCGATGTAAAGCTTTCGTGACTGCAGGGATTCATCTTCTTGGTTCTTTCGGTAAAGTCACGTAGAAGGGAAGTAATAAAATAATAAAAATAAAACATTATCAAATAATTCTCACGACGTTTCGTCCACAACGCAAGCGAAATTCCTCTTGATATGCAAATTATTTTGTCAAGGCGCTCTTCCCCCCTCCATCCCAGCTTAAATAGTCGCTCCAAGCCTGGGGCTTGTCATCCAGACTCTGTCTTCCCGACAGACCTGTTCTCCACCTGAGGACGACTGCTTGCGTTGTGGCCGAAACGTCGTGAGAATTGTATTTTATTATGTTTTATTTTATTATTTTATTATTTCCCTTCTACGTGACTTTACCGAAAGAACCAAGAAGATGAATCCCTGCAGTCACGAAAGAAGCTTTACATCGAAATTCAAATGTTTTCGTTCGGGATGACCGCTGCAGCGTATGATCTTGAGTTTTGATTGAGTGTGCTGATCTTTAGAGGTGCATTTGGAAAAAGTTGATACTCTTACTGATGCTCCTGCTGTTGTGGAGTGACTCATGCAGCCAGCTATGGCTACAGGGTTTTGGTGGTACATGTTGTTTATGTCGTTTATTGTGAAAATTCGGTCACAGTTCCTATGATCACTGTTACATTGTTCATGGCTTTATTTTGGTGATTTTGAAAAGTTTACTGGTTTGGCCATGTTTGTTTGTTGTAGTACGGAGTTAGAATGATGGCTTTAATCTAAGTTGTCTTGTGGTTGTTGTTGTTGTTGTTTGACTTGCATCCTACTGGGATTTTGCACACAGCGTTGGTGTACGGTGATTTTTTTCTGAAAGATTTTGCAGTTTTTTCCTGGATTTTTCTGTTTGCGCATAGTCACTTTAAGATGTTTTCTTCTTCACGTTTTTGTTGTTTGTTGTTTGTTGCGGTTGCACCCGATTCAAGAGCCGAATGGCTCACAGGGCTATACCAAATAAATACAACTGAAATTAAAATTAAACTGAGGTACTCAATTGAGGTTGAGTCGACCTAGGGGAGGCCCAGGACCGGTTCAGATCATTGCTATCACTTGTGTTGGCCGTAAGCGGGAATCAAACTCGGGTCGCCAGGTTTGTAGAGCAGAGCGCCAACAGCAGCGCCACCGCTCCCCATACACAACAACAACAACCGCCATTCGCTACTAAGTGGCGGTGACGTCACCACGACGCTTGTGCCAGGCCATGTGCACCTTGAGGCCACGTGAAGTGTCGAACGCCCGCTGGCAGGAGGTCACGGGGCAGACCCAGCAGGTGCCACGGGTCGACTGACTGAGACGCTGTCTTTCCGACAGACCTGTTCTTCACCTGAGGACGGCTGCTTGCGTTGTGGCCGAAACGTCGTGAGAATTGTATTTTATTATGTTTTATTTTTATTATTTTATTATTTTCCTTCTACGTCACTTTACCGAAAGATCCAAGAAGATGACTGAGATGACCGAGATGACTGGCTGATGCACCACCTGTGCCCCCTACTGTGCCAACTTGCTGTGCTTTAGCCACCCGGCGCTCCGCTCGTTGTTGTGAGCATCGCTCCTCCGCCCTCCGTTGTGTTTGGAGGGCGACTGCCTTCAACTGCCCAGTAGCGTCCTTCACGAGCCTCCTCCACAGATGCCGATCTTGACACCGCTGGTACCAGTCATCGGCAAGTCCACTCAGCTCCACGTCCTCCTGTACCACATCACTCCATCTCTTCTCCAGCCCGTGCCGCGCCCGTTTAGCCCCCTCGATCCGGCCGAACAAAATCTGTTTAGGCATGCGGTGGCTGGGCATGTGGGCTACATGACCCAGCCAACGCAGCCTTGCCTGCCGGAGGAGCTCACCATGGGAACTTTGCCTCTTTCAAGGATTTGTGAGCTCCTCACACAATCCAGCCTGGTTAAACCCAGGATGGATCGTAGGCAGGCCAGCCTAAATGTTTCCAACCGGCGAAGATGTTCCTTTAGGGGGGTCCACGTTTCGCAAGCGTAGAGAAGGGAGGGAATGACCGTGGCCGAGAAGACCTGAAGCTTCGTGCGGAGTGATAGACCAGGTAGCTTCCACACAGCGTTACGCAACCGATTACTGAGACACATACACAGAGACACATACACAGAGACACACACAGAGACACACAGAGAGACAGACACAGAGAAACAGAGAGACAGACAGAGAGACAAAGACACACAGAGACACACAGACACAGAGAGAGAGAGACACACACACATAGACAGAGAGAGACAGACACAGAGATACAGAGAGACAAAGACACAGAGACAGAGAGACAAAGACACACAGAGACACAGAGAGAGACACACACAGAGACAGAGAGAGACACACACACATTGACACAAACAGATGCAAGGCTGCGCTGATTCGTGGGAGAGGGGGTAGGGAGAGAGGGGGGAGAGAGAAGGGAGAGGGGGAGAGGGGGGAGAGCTCCCATTGTGTGTGTGGGGAGAGAGCGGCAGTGAGAGCGAGAGACCTCGAGAGAGACACAGAGACCTCGACGCACACACAGAGACACACACACACACAGAGACACACACACACAGAGACAGAGACACACAGACCTCGACACATACACAGAGACACACAGAGACACACACACAGAGAGAGACAGAGACCTAGACATACACAGAGAGAGAGAGACCTAGACACACACACACAGAGAGAGAGACCTAGACACACACAGAGATCGAGAGAGATATCGAGATACAGAGAGAGAGAGATCCCATTCTGTGCGGATAGAGAGCGCAGAGATCAATAGATCTAGATAGATACATCTAGACACAGATACACAGAGAGACACACACAGAGACACGCACGGACACACAGAGACACACAGAGACACACAGAGAGACACACACAGACACACACACGGAGACACACACGGACACAGAGACACACAGAGAGACACACACAGACACACACACGGAGACACACACGGACACACACAGAGACACACAGACACAGAGACACACACAGAGAGACACAGAGAGAGAGGTTTAGACAGAGAGCGAGAGAGAGAGGCTGAGATTGGGCCGTGCATCACAATGGAGACTACGACTACAGACGTGACGCCCGTGAAAACACGTAAGGCTCGCTCGTGCACACACACGTGTACACACACACGTGTACACACACACTGCCACACGTGTACACACACGTGTACACACACTGACACACGTGTACACACACGTGTACACACACTGACACACGTGTACACACACGTGTACACACGCTGACACACGTGTACACACACGTGTACACACACTGACACACGTGTACACACACGTGTACACACACTGACACGTGTACACACACGTGTACACACACTGACACACGTGTACACACACACACACTGACACGTGTACACACACACACTGACACACGTGTACACACACACACTGACACGTGTACACGTGTGTGTGCGTGTACACGTGTGTGTGTACGTGTGTGTGTACACGTGTGTGTGTATGTGTGTACACGTGTACACACATACACACACACGTGTACACACACGCCAACCCCCATTCACCACAACGTGGCGGCGACGTCACCACGGCGCTTGTGCCAGGCTACGTGCACCTTGTTGCCGTGATAGTCGCTCCTCTGCCCTCTCCTGTTGCTGGAGGACGACTACTGCCCAGTAGCGTCCATCACGAGGTTGATCTCCTCCTCCACAGAGGACGATCTCCACACCGCTGGTGCCGGTCATCGACAAGTCCAATCAGCGTGCCTGGCAATGCCCCTGTAGTTGATAATTGTTTTTTTTACCCTTCTATCTGGCAACAAAACTGACACCTTTTGTTTGCATAGACCACAATACCTGCAGTCATAATACAAACAAAAGAACATAACTCTGATAATGTATGTGCACTGTCCTTGAAGTTGATTGGTCCACACCCGAGACAGCTTTTCTTAGAGCCTAGTCTCACATGGGTTGGACCAGATGACGCCAAAAGGCGCATTTTACTGCAGGTATTGCGGTCTCTGCAAACATGACTCCTTGTAAAAAGGTGTCAGTTTTGTTGCCAGATAGAAGGGTAAAAAACCAATTATCATATTTTTACTGGCAAATGAGGTTCCAATAGTGCCCCTGTAGTTGTTGCAGTCTGCGTGGTTCTTAAAGAGCGGGGACCACCAGGGCATCCAGTCCTGCAGAACCCATCATCCTGTGAAGTTTCGATGTAAAGCTTTCGTGACTGCAGGGATTCATCTTCTTGGTTCTTTCGGTAAAGTCACGTAGAATGGAAATAATAAAATAATAAAATAAAGCATAATAAAATATTATATTCTTTTATTATTTTTATTTATAAAATAATAAAATAAAACATAATAAAATATATAACGTTATAACGATTTATTTAATTATTTTTTTATTTTCATTCTACGTGACTTTACCGAAAAAACCTAAGAATATGAATCCTTGCAGTCACGAAAGCTTCAAATCTAGGACCATTCCCATCCTTGCCTCATGATATTGTCTGGGCTGAGGGAATTCCCCTCTGCCAAGACCTCGTAGCAATGCTCTGCAAACCTGCAGAGCAGTTGCAGGTCTGCAGGTTTGCACTACAAGATACTTATTTTACGTGATCGTGGGCTACGGAGGCCATCTCTTCAACAGCCAGCGCCCACCACTCATCCTCTCCCAGCCTCTGAGCGAAGGCTGCGGTAAGCCGGATCGTTCTCCAATGTTGAATGTTGTCCATGATGGGAGTGGGCCTGTCGCTTTATCTCAAGCAGCTGGAACACTTCCCCTGTCAGCCAGCGTCTCTGGGGAAGTCTGGACCGCGTACGCAAAGCAGCCATTGCAGCTGCATGAGCCACAGTCCTAAACCTCGCCCATTTACCCTCGGCGTGAGGAGGAGGGTGGGACGATGCCAACCCCAGCTGCAAGCGATGTTGACATTCTCGCTTGCAGCTATCCTCAGCTAGCTGAGACCAGGCCTCTGTGGGTTTGAATGGGATCCGAGATCGAAACCCACCACCGGAGTGTAAGAACGGCAGGCGCATCTCATAGATGACAAGCGTATGGTCAGTGGGCAGATGAGCTCCATGGTAGGTCCTAGTGTCAAAGACATCTGCTATTCCATCACTATGTAGTCCAGCAGATGTTCTTGCTTGGACCCGGCATGCATCCATGATGTTGTGTGGATGTGCCGATGCCGCAACAGCGTGTTGGTAATTACAAGCCCATGGGCTGCGCAAAAGTCTAGCAGCCTCCTGTCGTTGTTATTGAGCTGATCTGGCCCATTACTACTCCATATCACTCTGACCCAGATGCCAGCATCATGACCAACTCGGGCATTGAAGTCACCCAACAAGATGACTCTGTCCCGAGGGGCCACTTTAGCCAGCAGCTGTGACAGGAGGTCATGGAAGGCATCTGACTCATCGGCTTTGCCTGCATCCCTCCACTGGTGTTCATCTTCAGTGGGGGCGTAAGCAACCACCATCACCACCACTCCTCGCCTCTTGTTGATGGTGAGGCGAGCCCACAGTAGCTTGTGGCTCTCAGCTTCCCACACCTCGCCGCCACGCTCCCACACCCCCTTACAGGAGCCTCCTACAGGAGCCTCCTCCTCCTCCTATAGGAGCCTCCTCCTCCTACAGGAGCCTCCTACAGGAGCCTCCTCCTCCTACAGGAGCCTCCTCCTCCTACAGGAGCCTCCTCCTCCTCCTACAGGAGCCTCCTACAGGAGCCTCCTCCTCCTACAGGAGCCTCCTCCTCCTACAGGAGCCTCCTCCTCCTCCTACAGGAGCCTCCTCCTCCTCCTACAGGAGCCTCCTACAGGAGCCTCCTCCTCCTCCTACAGGAGCCTCCTCCTCCTACAGGAGCCTCCTACAGGAGCCTCCTCCTCTCCTACAGGAGCCTCCTACAGGAGCCTCCTCCTCCTACAGGAGCCTCCTACAGGAGCCTCCTACAGGAGCCTCCTACAGGAGCCTCCTCCTCCTCCTACAGGAGCCTCCTACAGGAGCCTCCTCCTCCTACAGGAGCCTCCTACAGGAGCCTCCTCCTCCTCCTACAGGAGCCTCCTACAGGAGCCTCCTCCTCCTCCTACAGGAGCCTCCTACAGGAGCCTCCTCCTCCTACAGGAGCCTCCTACAGGAGCCTCTGGTGTGGACAGCGAAGCGAGAATCTGGGAGGGGGGGGGGGGCTCGTCAACAATGGGATGTGGAGGGGAAAACCTCTGAGATGGCACCGAGGATTGCCGCTTACTGCGCATGCGCGGGTTGTTGGCCTGTTGCTGAGAGGGAATGGGCGAGGTTCAGGACTGTGGCTCATACAGCTGCAATGGCTGCATTGGGTACGCGGTCCAAACTTCCCCAGAGAATCCAATGTTGGAGAATGAGGAGGCTTACCACAGCCTTTCCTCGGAGGGTTGAAGGGCCGTGCAGCGCTGCAAAGATGAGTGGTGGTGATGGGTTGCTGAGGAGATGGAATCTGCCTCAGTAGCCTGCACTCACAAATCACTCTTTGATTCCATCTAAGAGGTAACTTTCAGCGCCACACCTATCACCATCCTTGAGGAAACAAATGGTGAACCAATCTCCGACCCCCAGGAACTGGTCTGCAGGTTTGCAGTGCGTTTATATGAAGGTCTTGGGTGAAGGGAATTTCCTCAGCCCAGACAACATTATGAGGCAAGGTGCGGATGACCCTGCTGAGGCTGCAGTGCCTTAAATACTGGCAGAAGTAGCCACCCCTTTCTTAGTGGTTGTACGAGGGGCGATCCAGAGTCCGATAATATAACAGGAAAAGCGCTGGGCAAAGATGCTCTTCCAAGTGAAATGCTGACAGAGGGTGGCGTCTGTGTGCAGATTACCCTACGTGACATAATAATAGATTTGGGCCACTGAACCGTGCTAATCACACATTCGATTATCACGGTTGCCTACCTATGGTGATAAAGAAGATCTACATACATGGACGGGTTCCGCAGGATTGGGAGGATTCCCTAGTGGTCCCCCTCTTTAAGAAGGCGGACAGCGCAGATTGTAACAACTACAGCGACATCTCCCCCCTCAGTCTGCCGGGAAAGGTCCTGGCAAGGATTATTATTCAACTTTGCCTTGCCAGGCACATTGAGGATAATTTTTTGGAGCCCCAATGTGGTTTCAGACCAGGGCTGTCTTGTACGGATGCCACATTCTCTGTCTGTCTGCTACAGCAGAGCTGTAGGGAATTCCAACAAGACCTACATCTCTGCTTTATTGACCTGGTCAAGGCCTATGGTACCATCAGTAGGCCAAGGCTCTAAGCTGTTCTTAGTGAAATTTCGATGTAAAGCTTCTTTCGTGACTGCAGGGATTCATCTTCTTTGTTCTTTTGGTAAAGTCACATAGAAGGGAAATAATAAAATAATAAAAATAAAACAATAAAATACAATTCTCACGACGTTTCGGCCACAACGCAAGCAGCCGTCCTGTTCTTAGTGCTTTCGGAGTCCCTGACTTTCTGCTCACAATCATGAAGGGCCTTGATGATGTTTGGCAGGCCCGGGTAAAGCTACGTGGCCTGGAGTAGGAGCCATTCCCTGCTTACATTGCGGGTGCAAACGGGATGTACTCTGGCTCCCACATGATTTAACATCATCTTTGACCACGTAGTTCGAGAAGCTTTCCATGGCTGTACCAGTGGAATTTCTAACAGATGCAATGAGAGGTGGATCGATGCCCGGGTATAGTCGAGGGGTGGCTCCCTATTAGTCTACCATTTTACGTATGCTGATGATATGGTGTTTTCTGCTCACTCAGAGGAGGAGTTGGAGATGCAGCTGCTGAACCTGGAGCTTGCTACTAAGAGATGGAACCTCTCACTATCAGCTCCCAAATAAAGCACCTGCCTGGGTATTTTATGTCATCAAATGATCCCCTCCCTCCACCCCCATGAGCGATGAAGAAATTTTGGAGTGTTTCCCATACCTGGGTAGCAGAGGTCGCAAACGGGTTTTGATTCCTTACCCGTACCCGGCCGCACCAGGGTCGCAAACGGGTACCCGTATCCGGCCGTACCCTACCCGTACCCGGCCGGGTAGGGGTAGGGTACGGGTATCGGGTACCCGATTGCGACCTCTGGGATGAAGCCG